AATATTGGAGCTGACCTCAAGGTTTGCTTCGTTACTCATCTCAAGAAGAGGCTCCTTTCTCGTCTGCTGGTCGGCTCTTTAATACACTAGCAAATGAACCTTCCTTCTGAGCAAATGATCACATTGATTGCCTCTCCTTGAATGATAACTGGAACTGCTCCATTGGAAGCACGTAATGTCTGACAGCACAGACCGTTCCACTCCTTTTTCTTCACACGGTTCTACACAGTGTCACGCACGCCATATGGCTGCTGAGGAGCGGGCCACTCATGAGAAACCTTCAGCTAGGCTTATCCAGCCCTGCAGTCCACTTTTTTTCGTTTATTTTCTTTTCTCAAAACGGGTCGGAGTTTGAAGGATGGCGTATGACTAATGTAAGTTATACTATCAGATATTGATATGCCTTCTTCGAGAGATTAGCTGTAGATCTGTAGGTTTGAGCAGTATGTCGACGACGAGGTCGCAAGAGGTAATCGCGGGGGGTCATGAGGGGTCACCTTCGTAAGAGGGAAGCGATTCGCGCTTGATGGTCCCGATAAAAGGAAACCGTTTTCTACTGTGGCAATTTCAGTTCCACTTCCAGGGCTCTAGTGTTTCAGAGCTCTGGGGTTCCCGGGTGCCTGTATCACGTCGCAGTTTTAGTGGCACCTGTGTGGTGCCTTATCGGTGAGGCTGCTGGGAGCTGTAGGAAAGGAAAGAGGCCTGGCTCAAGAGAAGTAGACCTTGTGTGGACGTGCAAACAACCAGCCTCAATTGCTTGCAGAGAGGAGCCTCAGAGGCTCATTTGGCTAATTTGGCCTTACGATTAGTGGCCGTAAAAGAAGAGCCGTAGTGGCTCCGTGAGTAGGCCTAAGTGGCCCATTGAGAAGAACCTTAGTGGCTGGGATTGTTGAAGAGCTCTCCGTGGCGAGAGGGAGAAAGCTTTTATGGTTCCCCGGACTTACGCCCTGCACCTGTTGTGGACCTCCGATCAGTGGTCTCCAAATCCTCGGACACCATCCACCTCCAGTGATCTTTGTTATTCGTTCAATCGTTGTTGATTTCAACGAATTAATAAACTTTTCCTTTCTTGTCCTTTAAGACAATTAAGGGTACTCCCATGTTGCAGTACACAAATCCACGACCACACCTTACAATACACCATCCATAAAGTTACGAATAGACTTAGTCATGCACCATCCATCAAACTTCTCCTACGACTCTACTCAGTTGTTTTGTTACTGGCTTTCTCTTTGTCATAAGTGCTGGTAAGTAGTAATAAACACAAAACCCAGTATTCCAATTAATCCTGGCCTGAAGGGTCATGAATTCAAATCTTTTGGACATATCTCCTCAACAGCAGTGTGAACACAATTGTTTTTTTTGCCAGTGGAATGTATGGTTATATGTAGGCAGGGTCAACCCTACGTTGTTACTAGTAACAACGGGGGGGGGTCGTACCTGGTTGAGTTTGTAGGAGGGGGGTCGTACCCGTTTCAGTCGCTTGAAATCACATGTGAGTTTGAGGTGAAACTGAAGTTTTATGGGTAGGTAGGCTGGGTTAGGGGTAGGTAAATTTGCCGTTTCAGCGCGGATTTGGATCAGCATCAGTGGACTAGACCCCTCCGCGCGTTTTTTTTTCGTTTTTGTGAAACATTATAGACGAAGTTTACAATGGGCCTCTTGGCTCCCCCCATTGGAAATTAACTTAGAGGTGGACAGTGGTGCAGATGAAGAGAACATGAGAAACGGTTCAGAACCCGAGAAATGGGACCCCTTCTTTGCCCGTTGATTTCCGCATTGATGCGACTCTCATCGGTGCTGCCCTCTTCAACGCTAACGCTCTCTCTGCTAAACGGCTAGAGGCTCAGACGGCGAGAGAGTGTAGGCGTGCCGCGGCGCTAACGACGCGGGAACGGCCATATTAGATCTATCCTTCGCTGGACTAGTATTTCATTTCGCACCCTTTTCAGCGAGGCTAGTTACGCCTTCTTCTACCTCCAACCTTATCGTGTAATCCTGCTCTAATGAGAAAAGAATTGTTGTGACCTTTCACTAATGCTCAACTGTATTTCTACTTTTCATAAATTTCCCTTCTAATCTTTCCACATTAGTTCTTGCAGCACTCCAGCGCTCGCAGTGCAATAGCGACCAGTTTTGGCGTTAAACGACTGTGGTATTCGTGCTTGGGACGTTAAACTGCCTAGGGACCAAGTTCTGCTCTGATTGAATTCCAACCCTGACACACTAAATAACGCACGACCTTTGGCGGTCTTAGGTAATGCTCTTTAACTCGCTAGTGTCTTCGACACCGACCCACGATTGTCAACCCTGTGTGCGAGAGGACTGAGTCCGCTGAAAATACGTCTCCACGGAATTGAATGACTTGGTCACATGTATCGAGAGGGAAGGGGGGACAAAAAGCTTTTGGCCTATGGCGCTAAGTTGGTTGAAAATCCTTCAATAAGCGAAAGAGAGCCCTTGTTCATTGTCCTCATACTCTCGAGAAGATGTGTGTCTCGTACTTCTACTGATACAAACCGCTGGAGTCGAAGAAACATGCGCTCTGTGATTACACCTCATTGCCGTCGTCCATTGGGAACAAAATATTGTAGTTAGACTCCTTCGCTCAGGGAACTACGGCTTGAACGTAAACCCTGATTTAGAAAGGCCATTAGCGTCGGACTCAACTAACTTGGGTCAGCTGAGTTCTCCCATTGACGCCAATCCGCGAAAAGATCAGTGGAGGACAGTTCAATTATAGCACTACGGAACCTGTTCCCTCTTCACTCTTTCTGATTGATGATCGGTAATGACATTCTCATGCTGGTTACGACAGTACCCTTCGGAATCGCGTCACATCCCGCTTCCTTGGTGATCAGATTCCTATCCCCAGTTTCAAAACTGACCAAATTACAAAATGCTAAGAATAAGTGTGAAAACG